AAGCCCTCCTCCTTTGCATTGCAAAGAGCCGGGTGGGCTGATCTTCCCCAGCACCGGCCAAATTCACAACAAAATAAATAAGAAGGAGAAGGAAAATTACTCCTGAAAGGGAGCATGGTGATGCGCTGAACTGTGACTGCTGCTTCAGAGGGGGAGATGCTCACCTCGGAGAGGAACTCCATGTGCTGTCCATGTCTCAACCCCCTGGCGTGTCCCCACCGGGGTACCCCATCCTGCACGGTGCTGGGCAGCATCTCCCAGAGCCCTCCTGCTTTTTCTGTCTTCTTGTGGTCAGGCACGTCATGCCAGCACCAAGGATGTGGGGAACAGATAAATAGATCCCAAACTGCTAAGAATTATCCCCCCCCCTTTTTTTTTTTACAGATGGGGAAACTGAGGCAAGCAGCCACCGTGCACCTTGCCGTGGAGCAAGGAAGTGTTGGACTTTGTCATCTCCCCAGAAAGGCGAAAGCCACCGAAGGGCCATAAATCTCCGTGAGGGTTAAAGAAGGAGAAGCAAGAGACTCCAGCTAGCGTGCGGAATTCATTCATCCTCAGCCAGGCTGGCAGGCGGAGCAGAAAATCTGCGATTATATTCGAGGTCCTAATCAAGTTTGGGAGCGTCCAGTGGCTGGTCATACGGAGCCGCCGTCGCTGAACGGCTTTTATCACTCCAGACGCTTCTGCTGACACGGAGTGATTTGTTTTGCAAGGGATGCTCCCTGGGCAGGGATCAGGGGAAGGCTGAGCTAATGCTGCCTGACATACTTCGTTTAGGAGAGGAGACGAGGAGGAGAGGAAAGCTGGGAATGCCTCCGGGGAGGAAAGACCTCCCGTGCTGGAAAGGGCAGTGCGGGGGTGTTGGGATGCCGGTGGTATCCAAAGCCCAGCATCCCAGTCCAGGGCTGACCGGGATGCTAAAAGTCGTGGTTCCCAGGCTCTGGCAAGGAAGAGCTGGCAGAGCTGAGGGGGTTTCATTATCATTTGGTTGGCCCGGGACATCTTAAAAGGCCGAGCATGATGACGAAGCATAGATGTCCCTCTCCATCTTTATGAGACATCGAAGCATGTTTATCGCTATATATTTTAAGCCAAACATTGCTCTCCAGCTGAAACAGCAGAGGTATTCAACGCTTCCTATTTTAGATGGACAGGGCAGTCTTTAGGGCAAAAATTGTCTTGCAGAGGGAATTCATTGCTTGCGGCGAGGGCGAGAGGAGATGGAGAAGGCCGAGCAATGCAGTCACGTCAGCGCTGGCTTAGCTTGCGACGGCGCTTCTGCAAAATGAGGGACAAAAGGCGATCCCTGCAAAAATTCAGAGCAACTCGACGCCTATCCTCAATTCATTTCACCCAGTAGCAAAAATCTGGGAAGAACTCAGCCTTGTTTTCCTAAATATCATTGCGGAGGAGGAGGGCTGGCCATGCCCGCCTGAGCATCCCCATCCCGCTCCCCGTCTCAGCTTGGGGGGTGGTTTGGGTACCCAGGAGCCTGCGGGGTCCCTGTCCCCTTTTGCCACCTGATAACCTGGCAAAACCCCTTCTCCTCCGCAAGCAGCCGCCTTTTCGGCAGCGACGGCAGCCCCAGCAGCAGCAGCAAGGGGAGGATTCATCTTGTTTCACTTGCCGTAAGGTACCCGGAGGTACCTGCTACATCCTCGTGACGATGCCATAGGCACCAGCTCACGATTTATCCCAAACCGACCGAGGGATTGTTCCGCAATGAATTTGTCAGGATTAATTACACCGCGTCCCTGCTGAGATTTTTAACGAGATTATGCTTCCCGAGCCTCGCTGCTTCGCTTTCTCCTCCTCCTCCTCTTCCCTTTCCGTTTCAAAGCACGTTGCATGCAGCAGGATTTGTTTTCGAGGTGGTTATTTTTTCCCCTGTGATGCTGGTGAGGAGGAACTAGCAGCGGGGTGGGCAGCAGCTCCATCACGGGGTACGTCACCCCAGGCTGGGGGAACGAGTTCCTGGGGAATTGCCCTTCTCTGGGCAATGCTTCAGCTCCTGTACTGGGCTCAAGAGGTTGCTTTTCCATAGACAACGCTGCCTCTGGTTTCACCAGGATGGTGGGAAGGTGGAACCCACCGGAGATGGTGGTGGGACGCAGTGCGTGAACACGGAGCTGGTGTTTGGTGGCTCTTTTTTTGCTGCGGAAGCAAATTCCCTCTGCGCTGGGCAGGAGAGGAAGATGCTGCTGGTCCTCTCTCATCTGATCCCTGAGAAGTGTAGCCGATCCTCTCCTGGTGGCCCTGGCCCTGAGATGAGACTCGCCAGGGTGGCACTGGGTTGTTTTGGGTTGTCTTTGTGCCTGCGCTTGCTGTCCTATCCCCGTGCAGCTTCCCGGCATTGGCAGATGCACGGGGAGACATCGTCGTGCCTGGAGAGGAGGCAGCAAAGCCTGCGCTGGAGCTGGGGACTCACGGCGTGTGGGGGGGGAGATCAAAAACATCTTAGCGGCAGGTTTTTCTCCAGCCCTGAGAGCATTGAAATGTTCACGAGCCGCAAGTGGTCGACTGCGTTCGTGCAGCGACGGAGAAATAGCCGTCTTGATTTCCCTGGGGCCGCAGCGGCGAGGAGCCCGTGTGCCATGGGGGAGTACCCGCAGCCGGGGCGGGACGGAAGGGAAGGAGCGTGATGGCACGGATGGGGTTTGCCGTTGGAGAAGGTCACGACGGTGCTTTCCTCCAGCGTGAGAAGGGACAGACAGATTGCTCCAGGAAAGCCCCGAGACCCGGTGGGCTCTGCAGCATGGATAATGAGGTGCTGGCCACATTTCGGGGTGATGGGCCATCGTTGAGGGCAGTTCAGCATCCGGACAAACACAGCACCAAAGTGGGAGCTCTCAGCTGGTAGAAGCGTTATCCCAGGTCTGGGATGCTCACGACCCGTCTCCTTGCCAGAAGTTTGCTGCCGAAACGCAGGCTCCGTGCCCGAAACTTCATTTTCTTGCTCTGGCTTATATATTTTCCCCCGTTGTATCAGTTATCTAGCTAGCCCCACCCCTCTCTCTGCAAAGCTTGGCTTTCTTAACCCGAATAAAGTGATTTCTGCATCTGTCTGGTCCATGACGGACCCACATTGTCCTGGCTGCCCACAGCATCCCGCTCGGCAAACCCCGGCTCATCTTTCTGGCTGTTTCAAACCTCCTTCTGCCGGCCTCATCGGACGCTTCTGGGTATTTAGCAGGGTATAAATTGCTTTTATCGAAACGAAGCCGGCTTTGGGCTTGCAGCAGAAATTCCCCAACCTCTTGGGTTGTTTTCTTTTTTTTTTTTCCCCTCTCTGTAGGATTAACAAGGTTAGTCAATTAGCGTGAGCCGATTTGGGGTTGATACTATTCTGGGCTGGGTTTAGATGCCGCGGCACGGGCGGACGTGTGGCTTCACGGCGTCAGGCGGCTTTTGCAGGATAAATGAGAGCATATTGATAATCAGCCTTGTACCAGCTGGGAGCTAACCCTCCTAAACGGTTTAGAGGGGACGAGCGTTTTGCTTGCAAAAGGCCTCTTTGTGGGGTGCTGTGGTTTTTGGAGAGGGGGTGGCTTCCCCTGGGTCCCCCGCCTGCTCCCAGCGCAGGTAACAGGAGCCACAAATTCCTGTCTCTCTGCACCTGAGACTTACCCTTCCCCGCGGTGACAAAACACCTCGGTCCAGCAATCGCTCGTGCTTGACCTCTGCATCTTCAGGGCTGCTGGGGACCAGTTTGCACCAGTTCGCTCCACACAGCCCTTCACAGAGCAATACATCTGCTTACGAGCCACCCCTCTCTTGCCATAGGGCCTGGGGACGAGCCGCCCCTCCTGTAGACGGACACTGCCATGGGGTTAAACCATCCTTCCCAGCTCCTTCTTCTTCATTATTTTTTTCCCCCCCCTCTCCTTAATGAGGGGACAGGGCTGTCGTGGGGGGAGCCTGGGGGGGGGCGTCAAATCCAGGGGTTGGCTTGGTTCCTTCTCTCCAGGGGTGACAGCATGTCTATGGTAAGGCTCAGCCCATCCCTGCGCACAGAAGTGGGTCCCTGGGATGGGATGGGATGGGATGGGATGATGGGATGAGAGTGACTGAGGGTGCTCAGCACCCGGCGAAGGGGTGTGGGTGGAAGGTCAGGATGGATGCTACATCCTTTTCCCTCTGGGCCAACTCAAGATGTCCACGTGTCCCCTTTTCCTCCCTCTCTCTTTTCCGCAGGGAGGGAAACTGAGGCACGGCCGGGGCAAGCGCCCTCCAGCTCTCCAGTTCCTTCCTCCAAGACCAGTGAGGACAACTGGGAAGACTGGGAGCTGCTGGGACGGTTTCCAAGGGGAAGAGGGGGCATCTGGAAGAATTGGGCTTTACTTCTGCTCCCCAGGGATGAACGGCTGGAGGAAAGGTCTCCTCCATGGGGCAAAGATGCAGCAGCTCCCAAGGGGTGTGGGGAGAAGGATTTGGGGTTGTTGGAGAATAAAAGGTGCCTGTTCCCCCCCAGCAAAACCCCCAAACTGTTGTGGTTTGGGCTTTTTTAGCTCCCGTTTCCCAATTCCTTCTCCACACACACACGGAGCTGGAGCTGTCGCTTCCATTTCCTCGCCAGCAACAAAGCAAGTAAGCAGATTTATATGAAATTTCCACCTCTCCCCAACCCAAAAGCCAATTTCTCTTTTTTTCCCCAGACAGTTCTTGTCGCTTTTTCAATTGCTCCTAATGGAGATGTCCATCATGGAGCGTGCCGGCGAGGACATTAACCCAGATATGATTCCAAGCAGGAAGGGACGCATTAATGACCATTTAAACCTATGTACATAGCTGGTCTGGCCGAAGACGATGGGCTGATTTCTCTTGCTTTCTTGACAGGTGAATTTTTTTCCTTTTCTTTTAAA